ACTGAAATATTAATTTAACATGTTTACAAAACATATTTTTACCCATTTACTTTTAAAAAACTCAAAAAAGTTCAAAAATAACGATTATGACAATTGTCACTTTTCCATAGTACACTTTCACTGAAATATTAATTTAACATGTTTACATAACATATTTTTACCCTATTTACTTTAAAAAAACATACTAAAAAAAGTTCAAAAATAACGATTATGACAATTGTCACTTTTCCATAGTACACTTCCACTGAAATATTAATTTAACATATTTACAAAACATATTTTTACCCATTTACTTTAAAAAAACTCAAAAAAGTTCAAAAATAACGATTATGACAATTGTCACTTTTCCATAGTACACTTTCACTGAAATATTAATTTAACATGTTTACAAAACATATTTTTACCTATTTACTTTAAAAAAACTAAAAAAAGTTCAAAATAACGATTATGACAATTGTCACTTTTCCATAGTACACTTCCACTGAAATATTAATTTAACATGTTTACAAAATAATTTTTACCCTTTTACTTTAAAAAAACTCAAAAAAGTTCAAAAATAACGATTATGACAATTGTCACTTTTCCATACTACCCTTTTACTGAAATATTAATTTAACATGTTTACAAAACATATTTTTACCCATTTACTTTAAAAAAACTCAAAAAAGTTCAAAAATAACGATTATGACAATTGTCACTTTTCCATAGTACACTTTCACTGAAATATTAATTTAACATGTTTACAAAACATATTTTTACCCATTTACTTTAAAAAAACTCAAAAAAGTTCAAAAATAACGATTATGACAATTGTCACTTTTCCATAGTACACTTTCACTGAAATATTAATTTAACATGTTTACAAAACATATTTTTACCCATTTACTTTAAAAAAACTCAAAAAAGTTCAAAAATAACGATTATGACAATTGTCACTTTTCCATAGTACACTTTCACTGAAATATTAATTTAACATGTTTACAAAACATATTTTTACCTATTTACTTTAAAAAAACTCAAAAAAGGTTCAAAAATAACGATTATGACAATTGTCACTTTTCCATAGTACACTTTCACTGAAATATTAATTTAACATGTTTACAAAACATATTTTTACCTATTTACTTTAAAAAAACTAAAAAAAGTTCAAAATAACGATTATGACAATTGTCACTTTTCCATAGTACACTTCCACTGAAATATTAATTTAACATGTTTACAAAATAATTTTTACCCTTTTACTTTAAAAAAACTCAAAAAAGTTCAAAAATAACGATTATGACAATTGTCACTTTTCCATAACTACCCTTTTACTGAAATATTAATTTAACATGTTTACAAAACATATTTTTACCCATTTACTTTAAAAAAAACTCAAAAAAGTTCAAAAATAACGATTATGACAATTGTCACTTTTCCATAGTACACTTTCACTGAAATATTAATTTAACATGTTTACAAAACATATTTTTACCCATTTACTTTAAAAAAACTCAAAAAAGTTCAAAAATAACGATTATGACAATTGTCACTTTTCCATAGTACACTTTCACTGAAATATTAATTTAACATGTTTACAAAACATATTTTTACCCATTTACTTTAAAAAAAACTCAAAAAAGTTCAAAAATAACGATTATGATAATTGTCACTTTTCCATAGTACACTTTCACTGAAATATTAATTTAACATGTTTACAAAACATATTTTTACCTATTTACTTTAAAAAAACTAAAAAAGGTTCAAAAATAACGATTATGACAATTGTCACTTTTCCATAGTACACTTCCACTGAAATATTAATTTAACATGTTTACAAAATAATTTTTACCCTTTTACTTTAAAAAAACTCAAAAAAGTTCAAAAATAACGATTATGACAATTGTCACTTTTCCATACTACCCTTTTACTGAAATATTAATTTAACATGTTTACAAAACATATTTTTACCCATTTACTTTTAAAAAACTCAAAAAAGTTCAAAAATAACGATTATGACAATTGTCACTTTTCCATAGTACACTTTCACTGAAATATTAATTTAACATGTTTACAACATATTTTTACCTATTTACTTTAAAAAAACTAAAAAAAGTTCAAAAATAACGATTATGACAATTGTCACTTTTCCATAGTACACTTCCACTGAAATATTAATTTAACATATTTACAAAACATATTTTTACCCATTTACTTTAAAAAAACTCAAAAAAGTTCAAAAATAACGATTATGACAATTGTCACTTTTCCATAGTACACTTTCACTGAAATATTAATTTAACATGTTTACAAAACATATTTTTACCTATTTACTTTAAAAAAACTAAAAAAAGTTCAAAACGATTATGACAATTGTCACTTTTCCATAGTACACTTCCACTGAAATATTAATTTAACATGTTTACAAAATAATTTTTACCCTTTTACTTTAAAAAAACTCAAAAAAGTTCAAAAATAACGATTATGACAATTGTCACTTTTCCATACTACCCTTTTACTGAAATATTAATTTAACATGTTTACAAAACATATTTTTACCCATTTACTTTAAAAAAACTAAAAAAAGTTCAAAAATAACGATTATGACAATTGTCACTTTTCCATAGTACACTTCCACTGAAATATTAATTTAACATGTTTACAAAACATATTTTTACCCATTTACTTTAAAAAAACTCAAAAAAGTTTAAAAATAACGATTATGACAATTGTCACTTTTCCATAGTACACTTTCACTGAAATATTAATTTAACATGTTTACAGTACACTTTCACTGAAATATTAATTTAACATGTTTACAAAACATATTTTTACCCATTTACTGTAAAAAAACTCAAAAAAGTTCAAAAATAACGATTATGATAATTGTCACTTTTCCATAGTACACTTTCACTGAAATATTAATTTAACATGTTTACAAAACATATTTTTACCTATTTACTTTAAAAAAACTAAAAAAGGTTCAAAAATAACGATTATGACAATTGTCACTTTTCCATAGTACACTTCCACTGAAATATTAATTTAACATGTTTACAAAATAATTTTTACCTTTACTTTAAAAAAACTCAAAAAAGTTCAAAAATAACGATTATGACAATTGTCACTTTTCCATACTACCCTTTTACTGAAATATTAATTTAACATGTTTACAAAACATATTTTTACCCATTTACTTTTAAAAAACTCAAAAAAGTTCAAAAATAACGATTATGACAATTGTCACTTTTCCATAGTACACTTTCACTGAAATATTAATTTAACATGTTTACAACATATTTTTACCTATTTACTTTAAAAAAACTAAAAAAAGTTCAAAAATAACGATTATGACAATTGTCACTTTTCCATAGTACACTTCCACTGAAATATTAATTTAACATATTTACAAAACATATTTTTACCCATTTACTTTAAAAAAACTCAAAAAAGTTCAACAATAACGATTATGACAATTGTCACTTTTCCATAGTACACTTTCACTGAAATATTTATTTAACATGTTTACAAAATAATTTTTACCCTTTTACTTTAAAAAAACTCAAAAAAGTTCAAGAATAACGATTATGACAATTGTCACTTTTCCATACTACCTTTTACTGAAATATTAATTTAACATGTTTACAAAACATATTTTTACCCTTTACTTTAAAAAAACTTAAAAAAGTTCAAAAATAACGATTATGACAATTGACACTTTTCCATAGTACACTTTCACTGAAATATTAATTTAACATGTTTACAAAACATATTTTTACCCATTTACTTTAAAAAAACTCAAAAAAGTTCAAAAATAACGATTATGACTTTTGTCACTATTATTTAAAAAATTATCTATCAAAAGATATATTATAGATAAAATTACGTAAAATATAAATTATATAATAATCATTTTAAAAATATATATTAAAAAATTTATTAAAAAAATTTATTAAAAAAATTTATTAAAAAAATTTATTAAAAAATATCAATCAAAAAAATTTATTAAAAAAAAAATATCTATCAAAAAAATATTTTTAAAAAAATTTATTTAAAAAAAATCATATAAACACAAAAAATAAAAAATATAAAAAAAAATATCATCAATCAAAAAATATATTTAAAAAATTTATTAAAGAAATCATATAACACAAAAAATAAAAAATAAATATATTTAAAAAAAAATATCAATCAAAAAAATATATTTAAAAAAATATATATATTAAAAAAAATATATATATTAAAAAAAAATATCAATCAAAAATATATTGTAACAAATTAAAATATATTTAAAATTAAAATATATTTAAAATTAAAATATAATATTAATCTTAAAAAAATATTAATAATACCGAAAAAATTATTAATAATATAATATTACAAAAATTACACATTGCCTGATTTAACCCTGGCAATGTGCACATTGCCAAAGGTTAAGAAGATGTTTATTTCGTTAAATTTTATTTATTTTATTTTATTTTTATTGTATTACATATTATATATTATTTTTATTTTTTTTAACAAGACCTATGACGATTTAAAAAAGATATCCCGATGGCCATAATTGCCTTAAATATTAACTAACTTGATAAATCAAATAAATAATTGACTATAAGAATGATAATAAGAATATCAAAAAAATAATAATATAATAAATATATGTTTTATATATTTTTACCTTTTTTTTTATTAAGAAGCCATCATGTTTATTTTATATATTTTTTAGATAGGATCTGCAGACTGATTTATTGGATTTTATAGTATTTTACGAAGATAATTTAGATTTAATATTTAACATCTTTCTTTTAATTTATTATTTGATTCCTACTATAAGTAGTGTCGGATCCTTCCATTACCACCATGCTAATATGGTGGCTGGGCAAAAAGAATATTGATACAAAATTTCTTTATTATAAATTTCTTTATTATAAAATATAACTAACTTACTATTAACCTAATAAATTCTCTATATATACTTTTCAAAAGTATATAACAATCAATGTAACTATTAGATTTATATTATGTTAGAAAGAAATAATATAACAAGTCCATAAGGTAAAATTTAAGATAATATAATTCATATATATCAACAAAGCTGGGACCTTTAAATGTGTCTCGTATAACAAAAATTTGCTATACTATGATCATTAAAGTGAGGTTTTAACGATGGTTCTCTACAGCGATGTTTTACTATATAATTTCTATATAAATATGAATTTTCATTTTTTTAAGTAAAAAAATTACTTTCCTCTTTTATATTAATATTATGTTTAAAAAAAAATAAGATCGACTCTATGTTTCTCCCGAACTCTTAAAAGACAATTGGGAACCAGGACAAGGAACTCAAAAAGGCGATGTTTACAGTTTTGCCATTATATTGCAGGAAATTTTACTTCGATGTAAACCCTATGTTACTCCAAAAACATTAAATATAAAAACCGATGAATTAGATCATAAAGGTTATTTATAAAAATATTTTAAAAAAAGTATATATTATATTAGAAATAATTCAGAGGGTAAAAGGAAATTATAAACCTCCTTTTCGTCCATCTTTATGTGAAGAAATTTTAAATGAAATTCCTACAGATTGGATACAGTTGATAAAGAGTTGTTGGGAAGAAAATCCCGATTTTAGGCCCAATTTTCAGCTAATAAATATGAGTTTAAAGAAAATGAATAAGTAATTTTATATAAATGTCATTCGCATTTATAATAAAGCTTTTAGTTCAGCGTAATTCTTAAATAGTTAATGTTGAAATAATGCGATAACGATATAGCATACTTCCTATTGTTGATTCTGTTAGTATGTAACTGACATATAGACGCGGCTGATTTCGTTCACATATATTTAATAATACCAAAACAGGGTGGAACAAAAGCGGACTGATCGTATATATGTTGTATTCCATATCAAATCAACTGAAGATTCAACCCGACTCTCTTCATTTTTTTAAAAAATTTGTATGATGGTAGTATATACACTAACTAGTAAAAATATAAAATATTTATTCTCAACTCAGCTTACTTTATCGCCATCTTTAAAAATGCAGAAATTCCAAAATACACCATATTTAATTTTGAATATCTCAAAATTTAATTAAGCTAAAGATATGATTTAATTTTTATTAAATAACTCTAAAATAGTTCTTTAATATGACATAAAATTTATTATATTAAAAAAAAATCTATTACCAAAAATAGGAAATAGAAAACCGGAAATGACTATAAAAAAATTGTTCCTTTTTTTCTTTAAAATTTTTTTACAGATAGACATTATACTTTTTAATATTTGTACAAAATCCTAGATTGGGACGAGTACTGGGTCAATAGTTATTACACTTTAAATATAAGTAGTATGGCTTAAATCCAGAGTTGTTAACGTTCCTTTTTAGAAGTAGCTAGCTCCCACTCCCGCTCCTATCTTTTCAAGAGGAGCCTGCTCCCGCTATTACATTTTTAAAAGGAGCTAGCTCCCACTTCAAGTACTGGAGTGCCATTCCATAACCGCTCCTTTGATTTTCATTTTTTTAGAAGGTATACGAAACAAAATCATTTTTATCAAAAAGCTTTATTTATATTAAATGATCTATCAAAATATTTATAAACTTTTATTAGCATTTAAAAGTAATAAATTTTCTAAATTAGAATCTTACATACATCCACGCCTCTCCCCTAAGACCTCTTTTGCAATACTAAATAGGCGTTCCTCAGGAGCACTAGAGGGAAGCGAGGTATTGTATTTTATAAAGATATTTTTTAATTAAAGGAATTTCTCAAAAATAGTAATTTTGGTATCATTATTTAAAAATTATTTGTCCAACTGATGATCAATTTCATTGAATCCAAAAAATCTTCTAAATCTTTTTGAATTTAAAAGAAAGATTTTTTAGTTTTAGATGCTTTTTTAGATTAAAGTTGCTCACTTTTGAAAATTAAATAGTTTTATTTAAACACAAAAGGCATTTTGCCCTTAAATTTGTTTGATCATTTGGATTAACATCTTTTAGAAGTTTAAAATATTTTTTGTATGTATAATGTTTATACCAGGTATGGTAATGAGGAAAATGGAAATCGGTTACTTCCTTTTATTTTAAGGTTCACTTTATTTTCTTTAACGAAATGAATGTTTTTTTTTACTTGATATTCCTCTTTTTGAGTTTTCTTGAAAAATATTACGACACAAAACATACTTTACAAACAAAAAAAACTGACTTTTATTTTTTAAAATCTTCAATATATATAATAGTCACAAAATAATAATAATAATAATAATAATCGCATAACAAAATTATAATAAACCAATTTCTACAAATAAATAATTTAATAATCTCATCGTTATAATAAACAAATTTTAAGAATAAATAAATTAACAATTAAATCTACGACAATGATTTTCTATAATTAATTACACTAACATTTAAAATTGCTACAGTATACCACAGTATGATGGAAATGGAAATTCGATTTCTTCATCTATGATCTCTAAATCAATATCGAAAACTATTTTTTGTTATATATCTATAAAATGAATATTAATATGACATAAGATTTTTCAAAAAATTTTCAATATAAAAAGGAAAACTTGATGTTTAATATTTAAAATTATTAGATGAAAAACCAATATAAAACTCGGCTAAACATTTAATAATGGATAAATTTAAATAAAATAAAATTTCATTTTTATTGAATTTTAATTAACAAATATTATTAATATTTATAAAATAATTTAATATACATTAAACTTAAAGGAGCGGTGGAGCGGCACTCCTCCATTCCAGCCCTTAAAGGAGCTAGCTCCCGCTCCCACTCCTCAATATTAAGAAGGAGGCGCTCGAGGTGTTTTTGAAAAAACCTTAACAACTCTGCTTAAATCCTATATTATACCAATTTTTTTTTTTCTCTTTAGCTTTCACCTTTTCTGGTGGTAAGCTCCTTCAACATCTCTCTCCACTTTATGTTATTAATACAATCTCTTTTATCTAATTTATACTTCTTTATATTGGCTCTAACTTTATAGCCCCATTGAAGTTTTGGCCTTCCTCTTTTACGTTTGTCCATCACTTCCAAACTCTTAACTTTATTTCCTATGTAGTTCATAGGCCTTCTCATTGTGTGCCCATACCACCTAAGTCTGTTTACCATTAACTTAGTCTTAATGGGCACTACCTTTAAACTACTTAGTATTCTTGTACTGCGCACTTTATCCTTTCTTGTTACCCCAGCAATCATCCTCAGCATTCTCATCTCCATGGTTTGTAGACTTCTCTCGTCTGATTCTTTGGTTGGCCATGTTTCCGAACTATATAGAATAGTTGGTTGTATTATGGAACTGTAAATTTTTCCTTTTAATTTGTGTGGGATTCTTTTATCAAATAGCACTCCAGATAAAGATCTCCACTTTAGCCACCCTTGATTAATCTTACTCTTTATATCTTTTTCTATTGTGCCGTTTGTTTGTATAGTGGAGCCCAAATATTTTCAGCTTTCAATTGTCAATATCTGCCATTCATTTATATCAATACTCTCTGTTTCATCTCCTCCTATCACCATATACTCCGTCTTTTCTCTATTTACTTTTAATCCGTGCGTTTCTAGGATATTTATCCAACTCACTAGTCTTTCTTTCATTTCATCCTTAGATTCGGCAAGTATCACAATATCATCTGCAAATATCATATTCCACGGGACTGTTTGAGGTATAGACTTTGCTAATACATCTATTACTGTAATGAAGAGAAGTGGGCTGAGAGCTGACCCTTGATGAACTCCTTCGGCTATTGTGAAGCCTGCTGAAGTACCTGTTGTGCTACGGACCATTGTTGTATGGCCCATATACATATTCTGTATTATTCTTATATATTTTTCGGGAACATCTTTGTGGCGTAGCGCCCACCAGATAAGTTTTCTTGGAATTCTATCAAAGGCCTTTTCTAGATCGAGAAAGACCATGTGTAGCTTTTTGTTCTTTTCCCTGTATTTTTCACTCATTTGCCTAATTGCGTGGATAGCATCGGTTGTTGATCTTCCAGGCATAAAGCCAAACTGAGTCTCTCCTATTTCGATTATATCTCTTAATCTTTTTTTTATTATTTTTTCGTATAGTTTTAGACAGTGTGACATTAGTTTTATGCCCCTGTAATTTTGACAATTATGTGGATCCCCTTTATTTTTGAAGATAGGAACTAGATAGCTCTTCCTCCATTTTTGGGGAACCTCTTCATTTCCAAGTATCTTATTGTATAGATTTGTGAGGAGATGTATTCCATCATCTCCTAGTGCTTTAAGGTTTTCTATTGGAATATCGTCTGGACCCCTAGCTTTGTTGTTTTTCATATGCTTGAGGCATGTGATTATTTCTTGTTGTGTTATAGCTTGTTCAAGGTTTTGACAAGGGGAGTGTTCGTCTAGATGCAGTATGTGCGGATTAAAGTTGAGAAGCTCCTGAAAATATTCTCTCCATCTACTCATTTTTTCTTTTTCCTTTATTATTAATTTCCCATCTTTATTTTTGATTACTTTCGGAGCTCCGTTTATATCCCTAGAGTTCTTTTCTCGCTGTTTGGCTAATCTGTATATTTTATTTTGCCCTTCTTTGGTATGTAGTTCTTCATACATGTCATCGTATGCCATAGATTTGGCTCTAGCCACCGCCTTTGTAGCTAATCTCTTGGATTTTTTGTATCTTGTCTTGTCATCTGCGTTTTTGGGTTTGTACCATATTTTATAAAGGGCTTTTTTCTCCTGTATAGTGATTTGTACCTCTTCATTCCACCACCATAGTTCTTTGTATGATTTGTTGCCTCCTCTTGTCAAGCCTAGTGTTGATTTGGCAGTGTCTATTAATCTGGATGAAAGGTCTGTCCACATTTTTCACTGACTTGTGAGGAATCTTGTTTGCATTGATTGCAAAGGCATCTGTCATTGTTTTTAATTTGCCCCATTTGATGCATGGTTCCAGTTTTATCTTGTTTTGAGTGGATTTATTTGTCATGTGTAAATCCATGACTAGCTTGTGTTGTGCGGCGATATCTTCTCCTGGGATGACTTTGCAGTCTATTACATCTTTTAATCTGCGAGAGATTAGTATGTATTCTATCTGTGTTTTCCTTGTACCACTTTCGTATGTTATTAAATGACTATCCTTTTTCCTATAGTAGGTGTTGGTTAAGGCAAGGTCGAAGGCTTGCGCAAATTTCAGTATATGCTCTCCTTCATCATTTCTTTCTCCATATTCAAAACATGATGCCTTTTGTAGCTATCTCTTGCTTTCCCCACATGCGCATTTAAGTCACCACCAATTTTGACTAGGTCATCCTTAGGGATTTCCATTACAGCTTCATCGAGGATAGCTCTAAAATCATCTTTCTCATCTTCCTTGTAACCCGTTTGAGGAGCATATAATGAAAGGATGTGTAGTATTGATTGACCAATGCAGAGTTTTATCTTCATTAGTCTATTAGAGATCCTGTTGACTTCTACAACTGAGGAGGTTAGATCTTAACTGAGGATGATGCCGACACCGTTCCTATTGCTAACAAGTCCATTATAGTACATATTATACCCATCTTCAATCATCAAAGTCTTCTGTCCTTTCCATTTCGTCTCTTGTATGCACGCTATATCAACCTTTCTCTTGTTCAACATTGATGCCAATTCTCTCGTCTTACCTTTAAGCGTCCA